CCATGTGTTGGCGGCGGGGGGGGGGGGGGTGTCATTGTTATGAGGTTACACTTCAGACACTCTATTACTGTGACATTAAGGAACAGCGAGCAGCTTGGACCCACAACAGTTATTACTGCAGCGTACACCAACAGAGCCTAACATAAAATTGATTTTCACTCAGGTTGGAGACCAATAAGTTGTTTGTTGACTTAAGCAAGAAGAACCTTTTAGAAGCGGTATAATTTCATAATTAGAGTGTTGATATAGACACTAGTATAGCAATAGTTCTCCACTGGACTCAACTTCAACTAGACATAGATTAAACTCAAACTTAAATGGCATTTGCAAACCATTATACTTCCCGGAATTACATATTTCTGAGTGAAATAATTCAAACAATAAAAATACAGGGTGTGACTTGATTTTATCCTTAAAAAAAATGGATGTTGGGTTAAAAAAATACTAATTTTTTGACTTAAACATTCCTTTACATATAACAGTTTTTTTCAACAAAACTGCTTCACTGCAATTTAAAATCTTTTGTCCATCAAATTAAAGTCACGTGGGGTGACCAGAAATGTGCTGCAACCAACGTGCATAAACATAAAAAACATAAAATAGAAAATGACACCAAAGATGAACATGGAGACCCTCACAACTATATGTCAACGTCAATAAATGTCTTAAAATATCAGATTTTACCTTTACATTACAAGGCTAGGTTAGTTCAGGTTGTACAATATCATGTGTTGAGACTCTCCAAAAATTTATTTCATGTATAATTCTCAAGTATAATATATATATATAAAATAATTATATAGGACCACAGGAGATTTTTTATTTATGTGTCTGTGGGGTGTCTGGGTCTGTAAAACGTTAAAGCCTTTGCTTGACAACATTTAGTCTGGGGTGCTTCTATCAGGGAGCCTAGGTCCATGATAGGGTTTTCTCCTTTCTGCTAAGAAACTTGAGATGAGTCTCAATTTCTTCAGCAAAGATGATAGATGTAGATGATATTGCCCCTGAAATCCACCTGGGGTCAATGGTACTAGCAGGTGGTGCTGATGATTTGGATGATGTGGAGACTGACAGTATTCATTAGTTCCCTAAGTACCAATTGAATTCCACAGTGTTTATATAACCTCTTAGCTGTCCATGTGCATCTCATTTTCAGGCATCTCCCATAGAGGCTTGATATTCACTTTAGTCCAGTATGAATTCTCGCGGTTCTCAAAGTTTTCCATGCTAGGACCTACCTAGAGAGGTATAATATAGGTATAATACATCACTTTTAGACATTTTAGAGTGAATTTGAAATAAATTTTTTTCCTGTCATTCTATTACCCTGGGTAGGTACCCTTCTTATCAGTTTTATTACTATAAGACAGATTAACTGAATATATTGGCTTATTGAAAAAAATATGCATTGACAAGTGAAGTCATAGTTGAATCAGTAGCTGCTCTGAGTTCAGTGAAAGATTCATCAAACTGATTCAAAGTGGTACCTCTAGAGTTTGTGGTCTTTTTGAATGATTCAATAAAAGAACAGTTTCATTAGAGCCATCTGCCCATAAATCAGACTACATAGGTCACACTGTACGTTATTTTTTGCATGCGGCCCATGACGAGTGCTTGTTGTGCGTCATGTGAGAAAAAAAAACAATTTTAATGAAAAGTTATGCCAACAAACTTTTGAGAACTTCTCATATATTTCATATTTGGACATGAACACTCCACCATTTTCACACTTTCTGCAACCAACTTATTTTTACTCCCATCCACAGTTTGAAAAGTGCTGCAAATACTCTTTGTAATCCACTCTACCAAGAGTTGTCACCTCATTTTCTCAAAAAAGTCATATGGTTTGGAATGTCACGATAATGAATAAATGATGACCATTTTCATTTTTGGGTGAACTATCCCTTTAACTTCCTTGATCAACCAACTTCCGCAGAAAAACCATGCTGATCAAGACACTCCTCCATCAACTGGCTGACAGAGGAAGTCTTGCACATTTAGGAACTGATGCATGCTCTGGGGGACTGTCTCTTCAGTCACTTTTGATACGTGCTAAATGACAAGACACCAAACAACAAGATAGCTGTCACTATATGGCGACTGAGTGTACTATATCCTAGTGTACTTATGAATTATTTATATTGCCATTGGCGAGAAACTCTAGAAGATAAACATACTCACAGATGTGTTGTGCAGCTGGAGTTGGGTGTTGTGGGGTCTGTAAGATGTAGCGTAACAGGAGGAGAATGCTGGGCTGACAGGAGGAAGCCAACAGACAGGATACAAAGACTCAAAACAGTACCTGTACAGAAAGAATTAATTAAAAATACATATGTATGAATGCAGATATAGTTTGGCATTATCTCACAATGTTCAGAATAGCATTTCAAATAACACAAAATATAGTGGAAACTTGGGCAAGTTGTAATACAGGGAAGTTGTAACAAGGACTATATTTTTGGAACTTGTACATCTTTCACACACACACACACACACACTCATATACCTGTATATATATACATATATATATTGGTGCAATACTTTTTATATGTTTTCATTTTAAACAATCTGTTGGCCGAAACAATTGTTTCATTTGTTTGTATATTACAAGCATGCAGACTAGCCCTGGTCTCCCCTTTAGTGAGTTAAAAAGGCTAAAAAGGCACCCAAATGTTATCCAAAATAAATTTCAAATGTGCTGGAATATATTCTGCTTAAGTATATCAGTATCTTACCGAAGATGCTTCCCAACGTAAGTCTGCGTCTGCCCACCCTTTCAACCAACCAAACGCCCAGCAGAGTGAACAGGAAATTTGTGAACGCCGTTACAGTCACTAACCAGATGGCCAACTTGTCATCCTGTACTCCCGACATCTGCAGAATGGTGGCGCTGTAGTACCTACAAACAGAGTGCAGAGGAAACATAAACTTCCTGGTGCTTTTCAAGACATGTCAGGTTATTTTTTTATGGATAGATTCTGTTCTGATAGAAAAGCAAGAATACAACCACATTGCATTCTGGGTATTATTCTTTACAAATAGTAATAGTACGTTAGTATGCATGTTTGAACATAGCCAGACACTTTAGTTACTGCTTCATCTCTGACTGAGCCAGCCAATAAGTGCCACTTCACCCACATATCATAAAATGAGATTGTGGTCTTGCAACTCATCTCAACTTTTTCAATTAAAACAGCCTCCTTTTTTTTATCAAGCATACTTCAACTAATTGCCTCTCATTATGATTTACAGGACTTTGAATGCATAATATATCCTTTTCATCAAAAGTGAGCAGGGGTCAAAATTATATTTTTCGCTCCAGCTATTTAATCTAAATCAACAGGATTTATGCATTAAAGGGGTCATATGATGCTATTACATGTTTTCCTTTCTCTTTGGAGTGTTACAAGCTGTTCGCGAATAGATAAGATCCCTAAAGTTGCAAAGACTAAAGTCTCAAACCCAAAGAGTTCCCTTTCAGTCGGTCACTCTCGACATCACGTCGGATGACCGAAGAAATTGGGATCTCGCTTAGAGGGACCAATCTACTTCGAGTGTAAACTAAACGAGCCAATGCACATTGGCATGCGATTATTGCATCCAGCTGCTGCTGATCACAGCGTGAGTATAAGTAGGCAGCAGATGCAGCGCATATTCAGCTTTTCGCTTCGGAGCCGAGCGATCACATCGTTCTGCTCCTGACTACTCTACTGAGAGAAGAAGACTGAACGAGTTCAGCGCGCTCTTGGAGAGCTCTTCATGTTGGCGGACGGCGCTTCAGCGGTGGTGGTTTCCCGTGTCGAGTGGGTTGCACACATCAGGCTGCACTACACCCTGTTTGTGTTGCAGATGATCATCTCCCCTGTGCGCCTCAGCACGCTTAAAGAGCTTTTTCCCCTAAAAGAGCAAATTCGGGTGCGTCTTTCTAAAGACGACGTTGCTTAGCAAACTTGACGTTACGTCTTTATAAAGACGATGTGGATCTTGCTATAGACAACGTATCACCTGGGCGTTCTGGATGCGGTCGTTACCTGGCGCTGGGTGATGGTCACGATCGCTGCCTCTCGTGCCTGGGCATGAAGCACGCTGAGGTGGCTTTCGTGGATGCCTCATGCTCCCATTGCGGGGGCATGACCATCTCGGAGTTGCGGACCAGACTCCGTTACCTGCAAAGGGGCGGAGTGCCCGTGCCACTGCCTAGATCTGGGGTTCCCTCTGGTGGCAGCCAAGGGCGTCCTTTTTCTGGCAGTGGGCG